CTCTATTATCGCCATTAGAAACTTCTGAGTAAATTTTCGAAACTACTTGGTTTCTCGCTAGTAAATTGTCAATCTAAGCTTGAAATTTCTCGTCTCCAGCACACATTGAGTGGAAAACTTTGAGAAAACTTCGCTGGAAAAACCAAAGTTTCTTTTATAACTTCGAGAAATTTTACTCTGCCACCGGTATAACAGATTTGTGAGGAAATTTTCGAAGCTACTTGGTTTTTCACTAGTAAAATGGTCGATCTAAATTTGAAATTTCTCTTTTGAAAAATGAAAAACTTCGGAAAAACTTCGCTGGAAAGAGAAAAGTATTTTTTATAATTTATGAATTATTGATAAGTCGAATCGTATGAAGTAAATTCAATGGAGAATTCAAAATTCAAATAAAAAATGGGCGCTTTGATTTGAAAAAGTGAATCTTATCGCCCGGTGGAATAAAATTGGTTGAAAAAAATGGCGTTAATTTAAATTAACTTGAACATTTCTTTTGGGATTCACTGCCGAAAGTTTAAACCGCGAAGCCTTCCAGCTTGGGCAAAAGTAAAATAATGAAAATTCGCTCTAGCTGTTAAAAACATTGGCTGAAAGTGAAGCTTTTGCCCCGACTTATTCCAGATTGAGGAAAACACACGCAACCTGGAGTACTTGGGACAGTGGGGCAGTTCCAGCAGCTTGGAGAGTGCTGGAACCACCTCGTCCAAGGACAGATGGAAGCAAAGTGCCCGAAAAACGCTTCTAAACTGGGTGTCCAATGCACTTCCTGCAGATTCAGGCATTGAGGTGAGGGATTTCGGCGCCAGCTGGAGAGATGGTGTTGCGTTCCTGGCAATCATCGACGCCCTGAAGAAGAATCTCGTCAATATTGCCGAGTTGAAGAAAGCGTCGAACAAAGCGCGTCTGGAAACCGCCTTTGATGTGGCCGAATCCGAGCTGGGGATACCGAAAATCCTCGATCCGGTCGATGTGGACGTCCCCAAACCGGACGAAAAATCCATCATGACTTACGTGGCTCAGTTTCTACACAGGTGAGCAAACCAGTTATATTTTCGCTAAACGAGCTACAAAACACTCTTGCTCTGCCTATCGTTGCCCTCATGCCACTCCTCCTCTTTCCAGATATCCTGAGCCCAAATCAACCGGGCCGGACGTTCTGCAAGAACAATACAGTGAACTACTGGCATGGTTGGCGAGCAAAACCAGCCATCTGGAGCATCTGCAGCAGACGCGCGCTCTTCCGCGCAACTACTCAGAATATGCAGCCTCTAAAGCTGAAGTGGACTCTAAGGAGCGCATCTACAGCAAGCTGAAGCAACTGATGGAGTCGCCAAGCGCCATCTCCATCAGCAGAGACTCCTGGCCGGAATACAGCAGGCTGTGGGCCAAGCTGCAGCAGCAGCTGCTCTATTGGCTTTGGTTCCTGGACGCTCTGTTGCCCGGCGACTTTAAAGCTGTAGGCGAATGGCTGGCCAGAGCTGAGCAGCTGCTCTATTGGGACGAAATCCCTACGGCTATGAACGAGGAAACGGCCACGATTATTAGCAGGAAACTCGAAGAACACAAAGCGTTCTTTGCGGATTTGCCGGCGGTCCAGCAGAAGTTTGCGGCCGCCTGCCAGACCTCGCTTGCCGATGAAGTGCCTTCAGAACAGTTGAATAATTTGGCTGTAAGACTGAACGAAATTGGACCGAAAGCCGCTCAGAGACGAGTGAAACTGAAGTTCCTTGAACACAAAGTAAGTTGCTTTATTTGCGTTGTTTTGCCAGCGTCCACTCGACTCTACTGGCCCCAGTTCAAACAGAAAACATCGAAAACAAACCTGATTGTTCAGCCTGCGGCGCCAACTAATTGTTTATTAGAGTTATTAGCTGTTTGCTTCAGAAGTATCGGCTATTTATTTATGAATTGTCGTTTCAGTGTTGCCTTATTGCGTTTTTGCAACTGACTGAGTCCAAGCTGAAGTCCTGGACGGGAAAATATGGGCGGGCCGACGAAGTCGGCCAAATGCTGGACCAATACAGGAACTTTGTGACGAAAAACTACATTTTCCAAGAGCTGAACAAAGCCATCCGCGACATGCAGGCTGTTATTGAGGAGTACAAGCGGGATGGAAACATCAGTGAGTATTCTGTAAGCTGCTGGAACTTCTAACCGATCAACTTCTCATGTTGCAGGTAAAAAGGAAATGCTGGATCTTGATCGGTTCATGAGAGAAACTAGCGACCGATGGAATAGTGTGGCAACAGACTTGCGGTGCATTCAAAGTTTGCTCGAACAAGTGCTTTCTTATTGGAGGCTTTGGGACTCACTCGCCCCGGAATTTGGCGAATGGTTGGCCCAAGCGGAGAAAGCCATGCATTTGGAGGAGGAGGAGAAAATGGAATTTTTCCAGGATATTGCGGTTCAGAGGTACAGCGAAAATGCGATTTTTTGCTCAAAGCGTTGTGCACTCATTGAGTGATTGAGTGCGGTGACATAAACAAGCGAAAAATATTCAGCAAAACCGTTTTGATTTTTTTAAATTCGTTTTTAACTGGAAAAATTGCGTGCGCTGCTTTTTCCCTGGAAGGTTGCAAAAGTTAAATTTTTCCCGCAATCCACCGGATTTTATTTTTTT